GCATCACTTTTCTCTTAATCACATTCTACTCCTAAACTCCTCACCTAAGATCTTTGTCTCACATCTCAGGAGAACAGGAGAGAAAAGTTGAGGTGAGAAATCAGAGAACGACTGTCACTTAGCCCCGCCCACTTATTTAACGTTAATCTTCTTATCTTAAATTTTTTTAAATAACGTATTGTGTGAAAACAATTATGTTGAATAAAAATGCGATTGCCATATATTATACTAATAGCATTAGCATCCCGACGCTAGTTCATAAACAGCACCGTCGTGCTAACCGGGTGTGCAGACACAGGGATGTGAAGTGCGAGACCTGCTGATTCAGGGACAGACTTGTCCACAGCAGAGACGTGTCCTTGGACGGATGATTGATCTGCACTCCAGTCTCACGTGAGAGTCGTTTGTAGTGTCGAGTCAGCCGTGTTAACTTTACACGAAACCTCTTGTCAGCATCCTGTCAAAGTTGGAGGATAAAAAAAAAAAAGAAAAAACAAAGTTTTTTGTTTGGGTCCAACGTTGACTCTGAAGGAGGAGAGTGTTTTCAGCAGAGACGAAAACCTGACTTTCTCCACAAACACGATTGGATGATAAACCAAAATGTCTACCTTCTTATTTACAATGTATCCCGTGACGCTATAGAAAACCGCATCATCCAGAATCAGCGGTTTAAAGATTGTAGGATGAGATTTTCTTGTCATCCGATCGTGTATTAAACCCCGTTGAAGCTCAGCCTCCGGCGGCTCAGGGATTGGTACATGATGATTGGATGAACTGGGTTTTTTTTTCTCACAGCCCTACGTACATGATCAGAAAAGTAGATGTTGAATGGATTTTTCTTAGGCGTTACGTCAGAGGCCTCAGCGGAGCACAAATCATTGTCGTGTTGCTAACCTCCCGGTGGTTCTCATAGTAACACGGATACGGAGTCGCTGGATCAGCGACAAGAAATGAAAATTAAGAGTAAACATAGCATTAACTTAGCTGTGACTCTCAACTGGTGGCTACAGTTTCCTGTCGTAACCGGTTTCATCTTGATCCTGGGATTTTTCTCCTCTACCATCTCTGCCAACTCTAACTCCTGCTTTATACGTAGCTTTGGTTTCTGGTGGGAAAAAAAAAAAAAAAAAAAAAAACCACACTGCAGTGTCGTCGTCTCCAGGGGTTTACGAACTCAACAAACACAGAAAAAGAGAATTTATTATTGTGTGATACTGATGATAAAAAAACACTATTTTCCTAAAGGGGCAATATTTAAAATATTCACGCAAATTATTGTAAAGCTCCAGTTTTTTCACCTGCAGGGGGTGCCATAAATTATATTAACAATTTTCAGATAAATCTTTTTCTGCACTGACTCAGTTACTTCCCCTAAATCTGAACGTAGCAGGGTGCGTCGTTAGCCTGTGATGCAGGAGTTAAGGTAAACACCAACTGTTCATGTGGGCCACATTCTGGAAAGTCAGTGTTAGCCATATTCATGACATCAGATTTGACACCAAATGTGGGCCACATGTTGTACAGCGGTAGTGGTCCACAATCTGGACACCAAATGTGGGCCACATGTTGTACAGCGGTAGTGGTCCACAATCTGGACACCAGATGTGGGCCACATGTAGAACACTGGTTGAGGTCCACATTCTGATAACCAGAGTGGGCCACAAAGCAATCCTAATTTATTGCTGTGCTAGGCCAGCCAAGAGGTTTGTGGGGCAGTGGTGGCTCGGTGGTTAAAGAAGCGGACTTGGGTTCGGGAAGGTTGCAAGTACGAGTCCACCAGCTGCCAAGTTACCACTGAGATGCTTCTCCCAGAGTGCTTACGCTGCCCCCTGCTGATGGGTTAAAAGCAGTGGTGTCACAATGACAAATAACTCACTTTCACTCAAAGTTTTCTGCTGCAAAACTGGGCCATAAAATCGTACTCTGCACAACCCATTCATTGATGTTCTGGTCCACGGCCCACAGATCGAGGTTAATGTTTAAAGAAACAATTATGAGTCTCTGCCACTTTAACAAGATCAATGAGAAGAAAATTGGACAAAAATGACAAGAAAAGAAGATTGGGAGCGGGACATGGACTGAGCAGATTGACGTTCTGTTGTCCTCAGTCCTCAGCGTTGGATAAACGCCAGACGGTTGGTGTCTTGGTCCGACTTCGTCTTTGTTCTTTGTTCTGGACTCAGGGATTGAGGAAAATGGCAAACATGACATAAATTCACTCTTTTCAAAGAGCAACGCAGCAGAACGACGACATTCGGACCAATCTGCGTCAGAACCCAAATCACTGGAGAGCAGGAAAATAAAATCGGTCCATTTTGCATTTGTAAGTGGCCCACGTAGGCTTTGTCAGGCATGAGAGATGATCTGAGCTGGAGTCCAATTGATGGAAGAGACTAAGACACGGTCGACTCCGCCAGCTCTGTGTCAGCCATCCATCAGACACCGCATCACTGCCGATCTCTGCAGATAAACATCCTGGTCGTTTACAGTGGTCTGCAGTAGGGGGCGCTCCAGGTCATTAATGATTGTACACTGGTCCCGTGACTATCGCAGGGGTTACGTTCCAAGACCGACCACGATAGGTGAAAAACCGCGAAGTAGAGACGCGATAGTTATTATATTCTTTATGTAAATATTAACCCTTTCTATCTATAGCTATCTTTGCGAACACTTTAGGATTCATCGCAGGGCGTGAAATATGGCAAATAAAAATTAGCCAAACTTTCACAAATCTTGTTTACCCGTATGTCTGTGTAACAGAATGTCTGTTTTTATTTTTGTATATAAAAAAAATGTATATACCACATCAAACGAATACAAGAATATTTGTCAACAAATATTAAAAACCTGCGATGCACTCAGGACGCGACTGTATTTGTGCGAATACCCAAGTGCGTATCTGTTGTCTACGTTCAACCCAACGACGCCGAGCCCTGATCAGTGCTGAGAAGTCGTCCTTCAATCTAAAACATGGAGTGAAAACTTTTTAAATCTGTTACTTATATTAATATCTTTTTTCTTTCAACATTTTTTCCACCTCAGGTGTCAGGTGTCGTCTCTTCTCTTCCCAATGTGTTTTGACAGAATTCTGCAGCAGCGAGCGTCGCCTCCTAGCTCATTTAATTTAATAACGCAGACAGGTATCTGCAGAATACTACGTCAAGGAACCTTGTCCAGGTTTGGCAATTATTGCAGCTTTAATCCTCACTTCACTGTTCCATCACACACTCACACAGCTTTAATCCTCACTTCACTGTTCCACTGATTCCGTCTCTCTCTTCATGGTTTGATAAAAGTCTGAATCTCCTTTGACTTGATCTCCAGTTCTTAACCCTTTCCTGTGCTGTTCACCGTGAACAACAGCGTCAGGTCATCGTTTACATCCATCTTTGTTTAAACTGGAAAACAGCAGGAGCCGAGAGGGGTGAAGCCAACAGATGGAGCCTCAGATCAGTCGCCACCGTCTGCCGGAGACCTAATGTGGTGAAGGAGAGTGACTGATTAGTTGTAATGGATCTTTGTTGTCCCACGGTGGTGTCAGGACGCCGGCGGGAACGTTAATTTATCCTTAATGTGGTCATTGAAGGCGTTCATCATCAGCTTCTCCACTCTGTCTCTTCTCTCTTTCTCTTACGTTGACCCTCAGCCTCAAAAAGACTGTGAAAAACAAGCGTCAGTGACTCAACAACGTGATTGGTCGTCCACCTCGAGGGAGGTCGAAGGGAAATCTGCCAGTTTCTGGGTGTCCAAAGATGGAGAGCAGCTGAACGATGAAGAAAAGTTTTACTTTTTTGAGTCACCAATCGGTTCAATGTCCGGTGTTAATTTTGTCCCGAATCGGAAAGTGATACGACCGGCATAAAGACTGGCCACATATTATGCGGCGCAGGCTCGGTGCGTCGGAACAATCTGTCGCAATAAATCCATATTTCCAGTAGGAATCCTGGAATCGTTGAAGACGTAGGCTCTTCTTCTGTCTCCTCATTGGCTCTTTTATCCTGAGAGAACTCTCCAAAGACGTTTGGTTTTTTTTGTTCATTTTGCTAGCTCGGGGGGGTACAATTTAGCTGTAACGTATTATGTGTTAGCGGCCGCAGCAGATCCTTTAAGAAGGCAACAGGACATGTGACCGAGTCAAGCAACGTGACATGTAACTGTTCAAAATCAAACATCGTTCAGAATCAGATAAATGAAACGGAAATAATCTAAGTTATTCAGTCGTTCTGTGGGACCCAGTACCGATTGACCCACGGACCGGTGCTGGTCTGCAGCCCAGAGGTTGGGGACCACTGTTTTACACCTGCTTCCTTGTCTGATCTAAGGACTGAAATCAAAGTTCCTTTAAATGATAATTCCTTTTTCACTCCATAAAAAACAAAACTGCTACAAAGATTGAAAACTTGAAGGAGTTTCTGTTTTGAGGCTAAAAAAAAAAACGAAAAAAAAAAATAAAAACATCAAACGGAGCGACAACCCTTCAATACAAAGATCGTTTGAGTCATTAAAATCAGACACCTTATTAGATGGTTAGATTAAAAAGGACTGGGCAAAGAAAACAGACGGCAAAAATGAAAAGTCGACACGAAACGAGATGAAGGTTAAATCTGTAAAGATATCGTTAGCAGGAAGTGAAACATCGTTAATGAGTTTGTTTCCTCCTTTTTTAGGAGCTGTTAATGTTTCACTTCTAATAGGATAAACAGACCTTGGGAAAAAAAAATGCATTATGAAGTCGTTAAATTCCAAAAACAAAAGCGTAGAGAAAAAAAAAAGGAAATCCAAAGAATCCAAATGTATTAAATGTTCAATTGATGTTGAAACTTTTAATGCGAATTTACTAAAGATTCACATGTTGATAATGAATGTTTTTCTGTGATTCCGTGGACATTTAATTATATGGGGGGGTGAGGAGGAAGCGTCATGAATGAAAACAACATTTTAATAGAGGGGGGCTAAGGGGGGAGCGTCATTGAAACATGAATGAAAACAACATTTTAATAACCTTTTTTTTTTTTTTTAAATCAGCCTCGGTTGAGACGCATTGATACAAATGTGTCTCACAGTCGTGGTTCAGACTCATGTTCTGCTGGTTGTTACCTCTGTTTGACCTTTTTCAGTATTTCGTAGCACATGCAGCCAGCGTGATGCAACGTTAGCGTGACATTAGCATACCCGACAGCACGTTAACAGTAGCCATAATGTAGAGCTTCAGCTAATTAGAAGAAAAACACCAACGTTATTATCCCCCCAAAGCTTGTAGCTAATGTTGCTAAACATTGTTGTAAATCACAGTTTACCGTCAGTTTTTTTTTTAGTACTGATTTTTGTTTGTGTTTAAATCCAAGATAACGTTCATCTGCGACCCTGGCAAAAAATAACTCACTTTCAGCTAAAAGTACAGCAGCATTTTTAGCTCAAGTTGTTGTCAATGAAACTATGGAAATGTCCAGTCAGCATTAATATTACATCAGAGTGAAAACAAATGTAGAGGCCACCGTTTAGCCCAGGTCTGAAGCTGAAGACAACTTTTCTTTACTCATTTTGAAACTTTCATTTTGAACGCTACGGCTGTCTTTCCTGATTATTCCCTGACTCTCCAAAACTACTGGACCGACGCCTCAAAAACTGTCATTTGAATTTCACTTAACTTTGGCTTCCAGGGTTTAACATTAAAAAAAAAAGAAGATAAAGAAAAAGAAAAAAAAAAAGGCATTTCTTGTCAGTTTTCTTACCTGCTCCTGCTCCTCCTGCTCCTTCCTCACCTGTTCTTCATTATCATCCTCTTCTTCACACCTGCATCTCATCACTTCACCATTTTCTTCTTCTTCTTCTTTTTTCAGCCCCGCTTTCGCTTCTCATCCCTGAAAATGTGGAGTTTATAGTTACGTTTTAAAGCAGCATTTTATTTATTTTGTGAGGAAACAACAAACAAGAACAAGAGAAAATGTTTGGAACAAAACACTCACACATTTTATGGGGAAGGGGAAAAAGGGGAAGAAGGCCGGCGCCAGTCGGTTTAAATGGACGCCAATCGACCAATCCACACACGGTTTTCCTGTCATGTGATCCTGCAAGAAAAAGAAAAAAAACCCACACACCCACATACACTGATAGGAGACAGAAAACACAAGGGTGGTAATGTGTGGTTTTTTAAAAAATAATTTTTTTTTTTCTTAACCCTCCCGTTGTCCTTTTTGTTTTTTTTTTTTTTAATAAATTGTTTTTTTCTTAACCCTCCCGTTGTCCTTTTTGTATTTTGTACACACCCAGGTTTGCGTCTTGTCCCAGAACTGTATTATCAGCCACCGGGTCACCGGGTCACCTAGACCCAAAGGACAACACAGGGTTAAACTGATTGGTTCTGTCTGTCTCCGTCCGTTCGTCCTCATGTGATTACATTTCAAAGCCTGTGGTTAAATAAAGGGAATAAAATTAGCATTAGATCAGTGTTGTTTTCAGCTGCTGTAGCTGTTAAACATAATTGCTTTTGCAGCTAATTCATAATCTCCACTTTCATTTTGCTGAATATAAAAACAGGGAAAACTTTTTTTATTCTTTTTTTTTTTATTATTTATTCCATTAAGATAATTTTTTTCCAGCAAACAATAAATTTACACAACCTGAACAAATGCATTGATTTTTGCATCAACTCAACGAAAATTCCACAAATCAACACATGACAGGTTCACGCCACACAGTTTTGTCATCATTTACAGACAGGTAAAAACACGGCCATGCAGAAATTTAAAATAGAACTTTTGTGTTTTTTCAACTGGCAAAAAATAACATTTCATTTTTCTATCGTTACGTTTTAACTTTAAACATCAAACATATTTTTGTTCTTCGATTACTGAAAGCAACACGTCTCACGACAGAATACGTCACTGATATCAACACAAAATGAAAGTCCACTCGCAGGTGACTGGGTCACATGACCTGCAGGTCAACGTCCACTAGAGTTTATCCCACAGGCTTCCACGGCCCGTAATGATCATGAGGTATTTTTCCTTTTGTGCAATAATGAAACAAAGTCACAGTCAGTTCTTTTTTTTTTTTGTTTGTTTAAACGCTCCACGTGAAGCATCGTGAATTACGTTAACAGCCGTTTAAATGCTCCACGTGAAGCATTGTGAATTACGTTAACAGCCACTAGAGTGTGCTGCGTCACAATGACGATGACTCACTTTCAAACTATTTTTTTGTCACATGATCTGGGCAAAACACAGGCATTGTGTCATCGGGTTTTCGATATTGGAGAAATAACGATAATGATCCATACGCTAAAATCGGACGACAATATCATGTCATTTGTTTTCATGGGACATCGCTAGTTTGAACACACCATTTTGTCCTGAAGCGACAACAGGAAGGTCCAACCCAACCACGAACTGTATCTTAGAAACAAAAAAAACGGTCGTAACGAAGAGGCGGACACTTCCATTAAGCTAATTTCAATTTAGTTAAATGAGGTAACGCTAACCCGCTTTCAAAAACATGCAGCCTGTGCCTGTGATCCCTGTGATCCCTCTTCAAAGTCCTCAGAGAAGAAAACGTTTTGACAACATTGAGCTAACCTCTGACCTTAGTTCCGTGTCTTCCGCTCATCCCTTCAGTTTTGGGGGAAGGATGAACTGACCTCCATTTTTAGGTTTGATTAGTTCCTCTGCAGCTTGAAGCCACCGACTATTTGCCATGACGGCCAACTTTTCAGATAATAATATCAATTCTCACGGTGTCACAGACCCTAGCCTAGCCTAAACAGATCGTGGGAAATATAATGATCCAGGAATAAGGTGGATAGTATTTGTACATATGTTCGTTCGGTCGAGGTCCTGAAGCCGACGTGGGGCATCACATTTAGCCCATCCTGCTCCGTGAGGTACACTGCAGACATTACTTTGCAGCGTTGTTTTTTTTTGTTAAACTCTCTTGATAAAAGACCTAACATGTGACAGAGGTCCAACAATCAAACGGTACGATTTGTCACTTCAAAAGCACCAAAAAATGAAAAACGATCGAACTAAAAACCAAGCAAATAATAAATTAATAAATAATAAAAACCATGGAAAAGCAGCGGCTCCTGTTTAAATTCATGCTATCTTGCTGATGGGGATGATGGTCCTGGAGCTGGGTCTTATGTTGGACAACTTGTTTCCCCCCTCCCCCGCCTCGGCACTGTGGCTCTCTGAGGCGTTGTGCCTGTGAGTTGACAGGTGCGTCATGTGCAGGAGGCAAGTGTTGTTTTCTAATTCCGTGGGGGTGTTGGACCGGCGGCAGCATCTGCGGACACGGTGATTCAGGTGAATCGTAAACAGGCCGTAGATGATGGGGTCGAGGCACGCGTTAAAGAGGCCAAAGATAAACAACATGTGGGTCAGCGAGTGGGACACCGTCTCCTCCATGTCCTCAGGGTACAGCCAGTACCACAGACCCAGCAGGTAGTAGGGGGTCCAGCAGATGATGAAGGACGTCACGATGACAATGCTCATCTTCAGAGTCCTCATCCGAGCTTTGGGGATGTTGTTGTGGGAGCGGCGGAGGTGGACGTCCCGAGACACCACTGAAAAAAGGAAGGGAACAGTCTAATGAAGCTCGTCATTTTCGTCCTTCAAGGAGACATCTGAGGAGGTTGGTGTGGAGATCCGAGGCACCAAAGAACAAGAATGTCGCCACCTGTTGACTGTCTTATGGTAACCCTTGAGTTTGACTCCTAGGGTATCTGGTGAGGTACTGCAGCGAGGCTGGATTCATGGTTAAATAAACAATTCAAAGTGTTTTTTGTTTGTTTGTTGTTGTTTGTTTTTTTTACAAATTTAAAGACTCTTAATAGAAGTTACAACATAATTTAGTTTATGTGATCGGGGTTTAGACTAAAAATTAACCCCCAACTTTTTTTACATAGCTAACACTTGAAATATTAATAGTCAGTGTAAACTACGTATAAAAATCCTTTTTTTATTTTTTTTCTATAAATAATTGTTTATAAGACTATTAACTGATAGCTGGACTGTCCAATAGGGAGCGCTCACCAACAGTGTTGCTTATGTACAGACTCTCTAAATGTCTTATATTTTCTCCAGGTTTTTTTTTTTTTTTTGGTACATTCTATTAGGCAAACCAGAAAGTGAAAACTGAGAGAGATAATAAGATCATTTAACTGCCACCTCTCTTTATATGCAGATGATCTAGTGATTCTTAAACCCTTTGGGGCTGGTCCTGCCCTTCACCAGGCATTTTTATAGAAAACCAATCTACAGAAATGGAGCGTTAGAGACACGGTTAGAGCTTTGGTACAGGTGTACTACCACATGTTGTAGTACTGGTGTACTACCTGCCTGTCAGACCATAACAAGGACTTTGATGTAGTGATTTATGTCCAGACTGACGTTTCCTAAAAATAGTTGTGTTCTGGCCTGACGCCACCTTGGGTTTGGCTCCGTCAGGTTTTCAGCCTAATTACCCAGACACTCACATTCTCCTCAGAACAGAAGTGGAGAAAACTGCTCGGAAACTTCAGTGCTGCATCTGCACAAATACAGCAGGTAGTAGGCAAAAAAATAAATACTGGATACTTGGTTTCTGGGGAAAACTTACAATTACCCCGAGCCATGCGGCTGGAGATCTCCACGAGAATCCGTGTGTAGCAGAAGATCATGATGATCAGAGGCAGGAGGAAGAGGCACACGAAGGTGAACATGTTGTAGACGGTCTCCTGCCAGTGCTGCATGAAGCTGCCGTAGGTGGTGCACTGTGTGAAGTTGGCGGGGACAGTGATGGTCACGTTGTGAAACAGAAACATCTGCATGACCAGAAGAAGAAGAAGAAGAAGAAGAAGAAGAGTTCACGGTTAGAGAGAAATCTAAATCAGGCAGAAAAAAAACCCATGTGAACCTTAGTTTCCTAATGCGTCAGTTCTGGATGACCGTCTGTTGCTGTGATGCGTGAGCCGATGCTTCTTGTGGGACTTGGAACACGATGAGATTTTGTGATGATGAACAGGTTTTAGTAAAAAAACAAAACATCTGAACTTTAGCTTCTTGTGGGACTTGGAACACGATCAGATTTTGTGATGATGAACAGGTTTAAGGATCAATCAGTTTTTGTCAGGGACATTTTCAGTTTTTTTTTTGTCTCTCTGGGTTTGCTGCCTTATGTCCAGGTAGTTTAAACTCCCGAGCAAATTGTAAAAGTTTATTTACCACCATGCCATCTTTTAGCATTAGGTATTGCATGCTTAAAAATACTATATTATACCATATATTTATTTATATATTTGACCTTTTTGTTAAGACTGCATCGCTCTTCATTGAAACAGTAGAGTCCGTCTCATTTTGACCTCGGAATCAGGTATGACTGAGGATCTTGTTGCAACATCTCGGAAATATGAAATATATAAAAATGAATATCAATAATGAATCTTTGTAGGGTTTTTTTTGTCCTTTTTCTTTTAGTTTTTTTTTTTATTTTACTCAAGGTTATTTTCACCTTTTCATCTCAGAGTTAAATTACCACAGTAAATGGACCAATAAAATCCAAAGTGAACAGGCTTTTGTTTTACCTGCAGCCGTCAACAGACACGTCAGGGTTTTTACAGCCGAGCCTGAAGAGTCCAGTCAATAATTAAAAGCATAAACTCCCATCGACACTCATGAAGCCACAGCTCGACGAGAGGCAGGACGTCGGGGAGTACAGTCCAGTATATATGTCTCATTATCATCAACAGCTACAGACAAGTGAACGTGAACCCAAGTCCCTGCAGCCAATCAAATCCACAGCCTGCTGTGTGTGTAAGACGGGTTCATCACCTGACTCTGTTTGAAGCGGAAGTTTCCAGCTGTGACTAAAAGTGAGTGAGTGAGTGGATATGAGTAGAAAGCCGTGATTATGCTGATTACTTTCTGCATAATCACCATAACCTGAGGAACAGAAAGTGAGCAGAGCTTTTACGCCAACACGGATTCTGATGTTCATGAACCTCCTTAGAGGAAGATTCACGTGATTTACAGCTGGATTGTCCAATAGGAGACTTGCCCGATCACATCCCATCAGTGACGTAAACTACGTTCACTGAAGTTCCTGACTCACTTCCACAACAAGAAGAAGACTGGAGGCATTTATGAACAAGAACAACATCCAAACCTGATATGGAAGTTATAGAACGCCACTTTCATACTTATTAGCCCGTTCACTGACCCTCGTGGATGGGGGCGCTGTCATTGTGAAAGTGGCATCAGGAAATTAAGCTGTTCAGTCACAACAAATTTGTCTAAAGTGGGTGGATGCGACCCCTGCTGGTAAAAAAAACCCCTCTCCAGCACTTATGACACACGTCAGCACATTATGAGGTCAAACACTCCAACCTGTGGCGGCCTCTCAGTGCGTGACCCACGGAGGCACTCGCCCACTTCTTCTCGAGGGGAAAGAAAAAAAAATCGTGACTCATCTCTATCTACCTCTGTTACATTTACATTTCCGCAGATCGCGACTCTGTTGCCCACGGCAATATGAGTCCAGAATTTTGCAGAGCCGTGGAAGGACTCGCCAACTCAGACCAGACGAGTCTGATCACGACATCGCTGACATTTTCATTCACCTGTGGAAAAGCTGCCAATAATCCATTGAATTAAAGGCCATCTGCTGGACAGCTTTGTCCACTGGGGGGACGGGGACGGGAGGAGGGGGGCTGCCTCTATGAGCTCAGCCTTTGAAAAAAAATGATTTCCTTGTAAGTGGACCTTTGAAGATGCTACAATAAACATGTTTTTCAAAGAGAGTACAATAAAATATCAACTCTCTGGAGGTTAAGTTGTAGTTTGTAACAGATTGAAGTCTTCCAAATGTGATTTCATTTTATTTTCACAATCAGTCTTTTATGGTTCTCAAACTGATCTTTTCACGAAGCCAAGGTTACTGCCTGCGTTTGTTAGAACCAAAAATAAAAGCAAAATCGATGTAGTGTGTGATACGATTCTAAAAGGAGCAGCAAAACGTTGGCGTCTCTGCTAAAAGCAGTTGGTTTAATAATGGAAACCTGTTAGGTTTCGACCGAACATCAACAACTTATTAAGGCTTCGAAACAGACTTTGACCTAAAGAAGCAGGTTGTAAAAATGGTCCAGAACAAACGATTAGATGGAAAGACATTTTGTTATTTTTATAATTTAACATGTTTTTTTTTAACTGTTTGATTCTTGTATGTTCTCACCAACTAAATATATCATACATATTGAAAACAAAACAACTTAAATTCAGGTCCAAAATCACCTCTGTGATGTAACTACACAGTTAAAGGTCAACTCGCATTATAAAAAAAAAGAATATATTGTAATATATGTAGAACATAATACACCTGGTACACGCTGCTGAAATGAGGAGGTGAAAAACATCACGAGGAGGACGAGGAGGTAAGAGAACTATATTTGAATTTATATTACTGTTATCTGTAACTATTTGCATAGAGGCCAATTATTTGTTCAAAGTTAAAGGACCTCAGGAAGCCGCGACCGCGAAAACAAATCACCACCAGAGCACATGATTGCAGTATTTCCACGGAGCAATTTTAAAGAACGGCCAATTATGGACACAAACACATGTTCCTGACCATGAACATATCATTGTTTTTGTTTTTCTCATATTCAGACACGGATGCTGCTTCTCACGGCTGCGTCATCATCCATCCTTCGTCATGACAGTGTAAAAAGTCAAGGCTGGACATTATCTTTTTTATTTTTATTTTTTATTTAAAGTCTGTACAGGACTATTTCAAAAAGAAATTATTTTTGTCCTTGTTTTAGATTTTTCGCCCTGTTGCACCTCGTGACACACATGTAGGCGTCCACGTTGGACAGACTCGTAGAAGGACAACATGTAGTCCTCCGTTCCTTGGCTACGAATATGCATTACTTTATCCTTCACCTTTTTTTAGTCTATTTTAGAAATAAAGTTTCAAAATTAAGACCGTCGTCAGTTATGCTGTTCAACATCAGACACCCACAACGACAGAGATATTCATTTCCTCCTTGGTCAAGATAGTGGCCGACACTTTAGAGAGGGGAGAAAAATTCTAATTTCTAAGTTAGATGTTGAAAGTAGATGCTGACTTCAAAGAAGGAGAGAAAATGAAAAGAGGACCTTGAATAGAACTCCATCTGTGTGCTAGCCTGGTCCTGCGGTCTGCCCTCGGGAGGTTTCAAGGTTGAATTAAAAAATAATCAGATGTTTCGATAATGAGAGGTTGCGGGTGTTAAACCCTGAAGGCTTTTTTTTCTTGGTTTAACTCGTATTCATTTCTCTCTTCCCTCTGAGACCACAGTCTCAAGTGTGAAGACGCTGAGGAGGAACTCCAAAAGTTTGGAGCTCATTTGTGGCTTTCAGGCCCACGGCATGAATAGAAAATATGTGTACTGTATATACAGTATGTGTGTATGTGTGTATGTGTGAAAGCCCAGAGGAGAAGGGTTGATACAGTGGCCTCAAGATCGACTGTGTTTTTATGGAAATCCAGTCAATCTCCCCCTGTTGGTATTCACATTTCAGTGGTGGTCTTAGAGGAACACATTTCCCAGACTATAAGTTGCACTTTTTTTCCATCCCATGGGTTTGTAACTTCTACTCAGGTGCAACTTACAATATATATTAAAATATATAATTTCACGTTTGTTATTGTCACACTGCCAGCCACTAGAGGGCACTCTAGGCTCATGTACCAGTATCTGCTACTCCTGTACCACTGAAAATGTACATGCTCGTTATTGTCACACTGCCAGCCACTAGAGGGCACTGGTGCAAGTTATATATATATATGTTTTTTTCTTTGTCATTATGCATTTTTTGGCTGGTGTGACTTATACTCCGGAAAATACGGTACTTCCAAACAAGTCTGTATTGTTAGTTTGAACTCAATATAAACACTGACCGTATAGACCGCCATGTTCCCATGGGTTTTTAAGGTGGCTATTCCAGTGTCGTTCTGATCGTTATTGAAAATTGTGAAGTCCAATGAGACAAATGTGAATCTGGACTTGACTACAGAGACTGAAGCTGCTGCTGTCCTTCAAACGCCCTGAAGCTCTGACACACACACACACACACACAAACACACACTCATTGTCAGCAGCAGTGCGACATGACTTGATGGGTTGTTGCTATGTCAACACCACCTATGCCACAGGGCAAGAGATTTCTTAAAAAAAAAAAAAAAAAAATCACAGGGCAAGAGATTTCTAAAAAAAAAAAAAAAAAGAATCAAATATTGCATTATTTAAGCAGATCAAACGGAGGTCATTAGACTCTGCTGGGATTTTGCCCCGGGCTCCTCTGAAGCCCTGACAGGGTTGGAGCAGTTCAGGGTAAATGAGAGGAGACATTTATGTATTAATGAATTATTTGATTAATTAATGCTCAGTAAATTGCTGTGAATGGTTCAGCTCTGCTCAGCTGTGAATAAGGAACATCAAGTTGGACAAAATCAAGTATCTCCTCAACCGGGAGGAAAATATGCTAATTTAAAAAAAACAACACTATTTTGCCATAACAGCAGATATAAAGTATAGATTTAAAATATAAACACCGTCCACCTAATGACTGCACCGATGACAAATGATGTCATCACTACTATAATACACTGCAGTCATGATTTATTGCAAGATCAAGAAATTATTAATAAGGAAGGACCGTGATGCTGCGTAGCTACGTTCACGTAACGCTGTTGTATCTTATCCAGTGACCTTTGACACCAAAGACAAAGACTGTGTACATTAAGTATTAATTTCCTTTCCGTTCCTTCCGTCTCTTCATCTTT